CAGAAATGGGCGGTTCTGCTCGGGAATTCCTGATATATGGCCCTGCCAAACGCACTTTGCTGATTGCGAAACCGATTCCCAAATCTCGGCTTACCATCTTGACTGCGCTCGTCTCCAAACCAACACTGCACTCTCTGCCCTTCAGTTCCAGATTGAAGCCACCTATTCGCATATCAATCTTGTTTTCTGCTGAGGCCGACTTGTCGTCCGGGTTGATTGGAGCATCAAATCGAACTCCTCGAGGCTTGGGGGGTGGTTGTACTGGTGCTCTGACGGACGGTGACGCATTCGATGACATTGAGGAGCTCATGTTGAGGAAACTGCTCAAGCCACCAAACCAACTGAATGTCTCGTCCAGTCTTTGCAAATCGAGATGTATCAGTAATGGCAAAGTAGTTACTTCAGTCCGTGTTGATATGGCTGACTTGACTACCTTCACAGTCACGTCAGAGCCGGCTGAAGGAAACTTGTCCATAACAGAGGCCCTCATCTGGAGGTTCTGGTCGAATGAGATGATATCGTCTCTTGCATAGCCGAAGCGGAACTTTTCGAGATCCACGGTTGTTTCAAGGCCCTTTTTCGATGACTTGAGTGATATGTTAAGTTTATCAAGCTCCGTTCGAAGGAGAATTTCGGGTTGCATCTGCAAATTGGGAGAGCCCAGTATTCTCTCGGCTGTATCAGCAACACCACCCAGTTGGTGAAGAAAATGCAGTGAAATCTTTTCAAACACAATGTTGATATCGGGCATCGTCGATTCTTGCTGCGGCTTTGCAGCCGTCTTTAGAGCGGGAGCAGGACTGTCTTTACTCTTCAATGCGTCCAGCAACTTTCCAGCTACGACCGCAAGCAGATATGCCAGTGAAGCGTCGAATCTGATTTCCAAAGGCGATAGAAGAACCTCTAACGCCCTATCATCATCTGGCTCGGTGAAGTGAAGGTCGGTTGGCGTTGGCGCGAAGCCCGACCTCGACGCTGACGGAGGGGAATAGACGGAGAACGCTCCAGGAAGTTGAGGCGCGACTGATCTCGCCAAGCCAGGTGACCCCGGTGTTTGGCTCAGGACGGAGGCTTGGGCGTCGGCTGGCACATGTACATGCTGGTGCAGCGATGGAACGTAGAGGGAAATGTTTTGTAGCGAAACCAGTTCTTTGACCAGTCTCGTGGGTCCTCTTGGGGTTGCCACGTCGTCTGCCGGTGCTGGCGCGTCTTCGAACTCATCCCGTTCTCGTGTGGAACTCGCCGGTAGGGGCTCCTTTGCGTCCTCGAATCTAAGATCCGGCTGATCTGCCGGAGGCGGCGATTGAGACCTCTGCGATGCCGGCGCATCCATATTGTCGAGAGGGTTTGACTCCGGAATGCTCGGAGCAGCTTCGAATGCTGGTGGAGTTTGTTGTCTCGGCACAGGGCTCAACTTTTTGAGCTTGGGTGACGCCTCTGGGCTCGAATCCGCATCCCACCCTCCTGGCATCCGCGATCCAGTTGGCTCGGCCTGCGAAAAGGCACTCATGTACATACTCTCAGCTTCTTCGTGGGTGAATACGTGAGATTGTGCCAGATCATCGACCTCGCCGGAGCTCGAACTCTGAGAGGCTGCAACAGATTGTTGTAACGCCTCGGTAGGTGCAAAATAACCCACGTCATTTAGCATGTCATTGTCTGCTGATTGTAGCGACGGCTCTGACCTCGCTTCTCTTTGAAAACTGGCCCACGGGACAGGCTCATCTTCGTCTCCTTGGATAGTGGACTGAGATAGTGGAATGTGTCTCTGAGGGGAAAAGTCTTGATATATCGATGCCCTGGGCGTTGTCGGCTCCTCCTCTTCTGCTTGTTCTTCTGGTTGACTCGAGAAATCATACGGAATATTAAAGGCTTCTTCGCTGTCCTGTAGTAGCGCATCGTCAACCTCAGACAAATCTGCTGAATCGGACAGGAAGCTCTCCTGCATGGTTGGTCGGAAGGTGCTGTGCCTCGATGCTGAGGTGCGCTCGCTGAAAGATGGTGATTGAGAAATGGATGGCGATGAGACGGACGGAGAGCGTGCAAACTGCGAGAAGACGGTCGCCTCTGAAATCAGATAGGCCCGTATCTTCGATAGTGCAATGTGCCGCTTCCCATCTTTCGGCACAATCGTCGGCGCACCTTCGTCGTTGTGCGCCTCCGCGGTAACACCTTCAACGTCTATGCGATCTAACGCGAGCTGAAAAGTGACGAGCTCCGGCGTTGTCGAGGTCGGCTCGAGGGGAACTTCGACGTCCATTTGAAACGTGACCCCTCGGATGCGCACTTGGATGCGGTCGACGATGCCCTGAAGGAACCCGGCCAGAAAACCCGGTAAAGACAACGGCTGCCCTGTACCGAACTGGCTCCCGTCATCGCTCATCGAGCTTTCGCTCATTGTGGAACCGCCTAGATCCTGTGTCTCGGCTGCAAGAGCATCCTCCAGCCTCTTCTTCTCTTCGGCAAGTTTTGCATCTTTGAGCGCCGCATCTTCGTTCAGAAACGACTGCGCAAGGTTGACCGTGTTCGGTAGGCCTTGAGCATCGTCACTCCTCGCCGCGGCCTTTGTCTTTTTGTCATCGCCGAGAGTCGACACCTTCAATCGGACGTCAACACCATCGATTTCGATAATGATAGGGCTCGTGTAAAAGTCGACCGGAATGGTAACGTTGAGTTTCAGCACTTTGGCTTTCTGGACCTGGAACGAAGCGGGGAGCTGGAGAAGTCGTTCAAGTTTCTAGAGGCGTACACAGGATCTTGTTAGCCCTCCGGCTTTGGGCATGGCACCTTACATCAAGTGGCTGACTGCAGTACGGGACATACCTTGAGGCGCACTCCAACATCCTTGAACTCTGCCGTTGTTGTCCTGCCCAGCGCAAACTGCAAGTTTTCCATATCCAGCGTCTCCTCGTCTAGCAGTTCCAGACGCCGGAGGGCGTAGATGAGTAGGCGCTTCGACAGTGTCGAGCTTCTGAAGCTCTGGAATATCGTCGCCATGTTGAGCTCGGTGATCGCGACCTTCGGCGGGTTGCTCGCTGGGGGGGAGAAGAGCGACGGTATTGGCTTATCGATCGATCGGCTTGGAGGTCTCGGAGGAGTAAGGTAGGAAGGAGGAGGATGGCCTCTGCAAGTTACAATAGGTTGGCCGGAATGTGGTCCTTAGGCTGCGGAAAGTAGGAATACGCTGGTCTTTGGAGCGAGTTCGGAGGTCAATAGGCTGCGGTTCACCGGGCATGGGTAATGCAGGCTGCGATCGCCGTGTTATCAGAAGACACCCTGCCCAAGGCGGGGACGTAGTTCATGATGTGCTGGTCATCCAAAGAAAGGTTTCGCTACTAAGGAGGTTCGGATGTCGAGATAGATCGTAAATGGAGTTGTAACTAGGTACAAGTGAGGAGGCAAAGGCCGACAAGGGCCGGAGAGGTGGAATGAAAGAGGTTGGAAATGTACAAGGAGGAAAAGAAACAAGAAGGACAAGAAGGTGTACGGATAAGGTCGTTCAAGTTTGGACCCAAGCGCCTTAGTTGGGCAAAGGCAAATGCAGAGAGACCTTGGTATGAGGTGCTCTTGGACAGCGGCAACGGGTGGTGGTGACAGAAGGGTAGAACCTAAGGCAGATAGGTCACTGATGCCCGGACGTTGTGATGAGGCAAGCCGTGACTACCTTAGGTAAGGTGAGGCAAAGGGTACTGGTTGACTGGGCCGTACAGACGTACAGACGTACAGACGGGAGGTAAAAAGGAGGTCTGCCTTAGACACAAAAGCTTGAGCATGAGCATGAGCAGAGCAACGAAGCATGCCGCAATGAAGAGGAGGAAAGGCGGGACACAGGCATCCAGGTCACTCCCATCCACTCCCAGCCAAGCAAATGCACTAGAGATTGGTTCCCCCCACTGCCTCTAACAGCGCGTGACTTTGGCCGGGTTCACGTCACCGTCACCGACAGGGTGTGCAGGGGTCCTCTATCAGTTGACTTGCTCCAAAATGGCCTTTATCGATAAGGTGGGGTGGCACTGGGAGGAATGACCGTGGCTGAAGCCGATAGGATGGTTTGATGTTGGGGGGACCAGACAAGCATCACTGGGGGCCACTGGGGGCCACTGGGAGGGGAGAGGAGGGGCTTCAGGTCATCGCTTGTGACTGTGAGGAATGTCCCCTCCATGGTGGTGCAGTGAGCCGTGCGTCTGTTCCACCTGATTGATGCAGAACCCGCCACGCCTTATTCCCATCTCAGTACGTACCTTACCTCTATGCCTAGGGTACAGGTTGTCTCCAAACACCAAACACGAACACAGAGGCTACATCACCAGAAACCTATCTCGAACAGGTCTCTTCTATCATGGTCTATTCTATCGGCCCTGAAATACCTCGCTTAGCATCCCAGTCATGAGCATGCTTCAGTCAGTCTTGGGGTTTGGCAAGTTGGGTACCCAAAAGCATACATACCTGCCTTATTACATCAGGTACTCTGTCTTTCCCTTCTGCATGTGAAGTTGCCATGAGAGAGTGGCAGACAGGCCCCACGTTCCACAGCCATCGATGTCTAACACCTCCTCCTGACGTCTTGACCAAATTTTAACACAATCCCCATTACAAGACTCGGAATCAACAAAGAGAAGAAAACAAAGACAGAGAAACGACGTTCTGTCAAGTGTTACCTCAGCCTATTTCATCAGAGTGACATTGTTTCAGGCCATCAGCGCTCAGATGCAAACCTGGAAGTACAAAAGTCTTCGCCCCAAAAAAAATACTTATTGTAAATAATTCGTTGAAGAATCAAATGACAGCCGTCATCGTCGTGGGTCGTTGCATCTACAACAAAAGAGAATGCAGCACCAAAGGCACCCCGGTACGGAGAGGCCCTGGCCAGAATGCAAGATACCACCAGTGACTCCATCAACCACCAGGCCATGCAGGATGCGCCGTATGAATCGCCCAATTCCGAGCCATATAACCACCACATCAAGGCTGAGCGCGAGACGACTCGTTCAGCATCCCGATTACTGTTCCTCTTCCAGAGTTTTGCTGCTCGCCCGCCCATGGGCCTCGGCAACCCTTCGGCCGACACTCTCACCGCTCCAGTAAGCTCCCGTCGCCGTCCCTAGCGCCACGAACGGCGCCGTGTGTTCGCCCGCCAGCCACAGACCGCCTTCCGGTACGCCTTCCCGCATCGCCTCAATGTCCTTGTCGCCCTCCAACAATCCGGTTGGGAAGTTGCTGTAGCTGCCGTTGCCCGCCAAATCGTCTCGCAGCCAGTCTGTCGACAGACTCCCCGTCGGCTTGCAGTCGGGCGAATTCTCGTCGTAATGTGGCAGACGGGAGTAGTAAGGCTTGAAAAAGTCGTACAAGAAATAGTTTCTTTCCGGTATCGTCTTCAACCTCGACACGCCTTCGGTAATGTACTTGGACTCGTCTCCGAAAATGTAGAACAGGAGCGTCGGGTGCGAGTTCTCGCCCATCGAGGCAAGATCAACAATTTCCTGGTTCCATCTCTTTGGGTTCGTCTCTTGAGCATATGTCGGCGCAAGCCATTGGCAGAAGCCCTGCACCACGCGGCCCTCTGCGTCGGGCTCGAGCCAAAACGCTTTGGGGAAGCTGATGTATACCTTCTCCAGGCATCCATATCCGATGGCTTGGATTCCACGCTCGACTCTCTTAGGGAGCGGTGGTTCGAATGCTTGAAGGTTCTTCTTCAGCCAGCCCAAGGGTGTCGTCATGACGACGTCGTCAAACTCCAAAATCTCGCCCGTGTTGGTGTGAACCCTCGGTTTCGGCCGCTCCTCGGTTTTGAGCTCTACCTTGGTAACGATAGTATCGTACTTGACATCGGCATTGTGCCTGACGGGCTCTGCAACTCTCTCAAAGATTTTTTCGTATGTACCAGCGCAGAACAAGTTTTCTTCCGCAAGTTAGCCAGAAGTCTGCAGGACTTCAGATCAGAATAATTCTCACCTCCGTCTATGCATTCCTCAAGCCAAAAGAACTTCAGACTTTGGGTTGTGATTGGACTGCCGGAAAAAGCACCCCAGAGCTCTGCAATCTGGAGAACGGTTTTTCGCTTTTCAGCAAAGTTCTCCTCGGTATCGGGAATTTTCTCAATCACTCTTTCCTGGAAGAAGTCCCAGAGACTCTCATCAGGATGTATAGTAGCCGTGTTCTTGTTAGAGTGTTGGAAGGCGTCCTGGACAATGTCCCACATCAAACTCGAATAGATCTCGCTCTCGTCCAGTTTAAATAAGTTTCCTGAATCATCAAACACATACGACCGGTGATCCCAGCTTCCCACGGCCGTTCCAGTCTCTTTGGCCAAGTCATTGATGGGGTTGTCGTCTGTGCCGTGGATCCAATTCGGACCGAGGTCTACAGTGTGGCCGTTGGGTAGTGTTTCCTGGAACATACGCCCTCCAAGTCGCTCTCGGCCCTCAATAATGGTCACCAGCAGGCCATGTTGAATCAAGATATCAGCGCAGCGCAGACCGGCGAGGCCAGCACCGACGACAGCAATATGGGGTTTTGGGCCCGACTCTGATTGTTTGCGCTGTGACGTGTCAGGAGGAAATTGCCTTGACGAACAATGACAAGTAATTTTCGTCTTGTACACTGAGGCGTGTATACTAGCAAAGGTACGGTCGTGGTACGAATCGGACGGGTTTGCCCATCGCGTCAAAAGAGACAGTCGATGGCCCCGGCCCGAGGCGTCCCACTAATAGTATTGGGCACGTGTTTGACAGGAAGCAGCAGACTTACCCGCAGAAGTGAGTCCATGGTCAGCGATCTAAGCAACAGCTTGTCTTGTCCGGACCCAAAAAGGCTTTGGGCTCGGCAGGACTCTAAATCCTGGTAAATGCGAGATGTACTCCGGTTGGCAGGGCTGGTGTAAGAGACTGAGTAAGCGTCCATGGCGGCAAGTATTCGAGGAAATGCAACAGAAAGAGAGTGAGGGTATTGTGGCAGTATTTGACAATCTGGTCACGAAAGTTGATTAATTGGGGGAAGCGCGGGCGAACTATGCCGCAACGCTGCTGGTTCAGTGCTGATCCACAGCAGAAATAAGTGAAGTCACAGGATATGAGCCCGCGTCTGGTTTTGTGAGAACCCCAGACTGAGTGAGACAGAGAAAAAGGAGCTATTGCGATCTTGTGGGCTGGGGGAAGAGGTCAGGTGGAAGAGGCAGCAGAAGGATTGTGGGGAGGAGAAGGGGGAGGAGGAACGTGGTGAAATGTCCAGCTCGCAGCAGCTAAGACGTTCTGGTCAGGATCCAGGGTGGTAAAGTTGATGTATAACAGGACCCGTGGATCTGGGTGCAGCGGCCGGGAAGGTTAAGCGCGAGGATAGTCCAGATAAGGTATGGTGAAGGTGACGGATTCCCCATGTAGGTTGTAGGTTGATGACGGAAGTGCCTTTGATTAAGCCAAGGTATGCGCCATGTAGTAGTACCGATTGGAGGTGAGATTGATACCTTGCGTGGCTGAACAGGTTTATGAAAGACATGAAAGGTGCATCGGACGGAGAAGGTGGCGGAGGAAGGAAGATACTGGGAACATTGGATGTTTGCCATTCCAGAATCTGCAGCTTGCCAAAAACCACTTTAATCTTCTTTCTTCCGACAAAGGTTGTCATGCAGATGCTGTTCAACGCACAGCAAGTTCCAACCACACCTCCAGATTCACCTTCCCCCTCTTGAGGCAATGGCAATAACAAGTAAGTACTCGGGACTGTCGCCGACTAGGCTCGCGTAGAAGCGGCGTACTAGATGGTCCATACAAGTAGCTGGGGGTAGACGCCGTTGTATTCCGACAGGACGCTTTTGTGCATTTTGGCTCAACTTGTAATCAAACCACCAGCACGTGGGACGTAATGACGCTTGCCGTGGACCGGTTCAGCGACACCATTGCTCTTGAGGCTTTCCGCGGGGAAGAATTGACGGTTGGCTGCACTAGGTACACCATTGGGAGACGACGTACGGCATTTTCGTGTTTGTGTAACGGAGAAATGAGGGGCGGCAAAGAGAGAACTGAAAATTGAACTGAGGAAATTGAGAGGTAGAGGGCAGTGTGAACAAGATACTAAGGAGAACATCGGCATCGACGATGAGAACTTAGAACTTACAATGCAATACACGATCGGGCGGGAGACTGCACGCGCGCTAAGCCTCGATATCATCCGGGATAACGAAGGAAAGAGGCAGAGAAGAACGAGGGACGAGGGCGTGGGCGTAGACGTAAAAGAAGTCGCAGACGCAGATGCAGACGAGAAACGCCCAGGGAAGACGGGAGAGAGAGAGAGAAGCCCGGATGAGAGAATGGGAGAAAGTCGAGGTTGCTGGTTTGGTTCCAGTTTGGATTTTCGGTGAGCTGCAGCTCCCGTCATGAATTTTTTGGCAGTCAACCTGGGCGTTCAGGGTCTTTCCTGCTGGGTCTTGGTCTTGGGTCTTGGGTCAGATCCCAGTTGCCAGGAAAGGGCGGGATCGGATAATGAAAGTTGTACTGGTGTGCGGTGGAACTGGAAATGGTGGAACCTCGTGGGAAACCCGTCAGGTAGACGGCGCAAAAGCGTCCCGTCGTGAGAAATGAAAATGCTACTTGGCTAAGGTACCTACCAACTCCGTACACTTCCACGAACAGCAGGGAAGGACTACCTACCTCAAGGTACCTCAGATGATACCTTCCGTGCTTTCCGTATCGAAACTCCGTACCTTCCTCAGAGAAACTGCGCTTAACAGAGAATGGCAGGAATGGCAGAGAATGAAGGAAGGTGTGGACGGAAAGGAACGAGGGGCACTTTCTCTTTAGGACCGGTGACACTTCACTGCTCCTTCTCCACCAACAGCGTCATTCCTCCACCTTAATCTCCATCCAACTCTCTCCGCTCCTTTTTTTTTTCTTTACTGCGAGAGAAGTACCCTTCCACCCTTCCACGCTCTCCCCTTCCACCTTGTCACCACCGCATCCCTCTCCGCCGCCTACCTGAGCCTCTCCTCGACTGACACACGTCCTGTTATGCCCACCCTGTCACGACGCCGACCAACTGACTCGATGCTCTGCCAGGAATCGCACTGAAACTGCAGATAAGAGGAGCCGACGATACCCTCAAGCTTTCTGACCTACCTTGACAGCAAACACAATGCCAAGTGCCAACATCCAACTTGCTGCATCTTTTCCTCAAAGGAGCCACACCTGATGCTGATAGGCCCTTTTACACGCCCAATCGGGCCTTGCTGACCGCGACTAAGACACATTACCGCCGATCATGCCATCTTTCTAGATTCCTTCTATTACTGCGTACCCTCTAGTTCTTCGAGGTGCGGACCACGGACTACCAATCCTCCTTCCCACTTGCCGGGCCTGACCAGACAGAGCCTCATCCCAAAGGTCACGATGCATCCGCCATCATCACTCGTCCTCCTTTTCTTTCTACTAGTGCACATCGGTGCCGGCCAGCCGCAGGATGACAGCCAGCCATTCCAGCCACCACCACCCGCAGACACCTCAGAGAATCACCTGTCATGGCAATCTGCCTTTTGGGCCCTCCTCGCCCTTGTCCTCAATACCGCGACCCAACCGTGCGGGAAGATCTGCGGGTTCCCCTCGGAATGGGGCTTTTGCCTCAGGTGGTCGCCCGTTGTCTGCGTTATAAACTCACTTGAAGCCCTCAGCTGCCTCCGCCTCCACCGTCACGACTCTAAATGGACTCTGGTTGTCGTACCGCACAAATACGACACAGAAATAGATATCTCCCATAGTGACGTGGCCAACTTGCAGCGCAACACTTTGATCCGTATTGTCGCCTTCATCTTGGGCCCTCTATTACAAGCAACCAAATTGTACGCTTGCCGGGGCACCTTCTGGGTTCAATTTCTAGCATCCATCTATCTCGCCAGTTTCCTCTGCGATGAGTTGTTGCTCGGCCTTGTATGGATAGCCGGACCCGCGGAGAGCCGGAACAGGGTCATCGGGCTGGTCGAAGCCGTTGCGGGGAGTCGAATCCGTCCTCCGGTCCACTTCCCGCTCCTTAGACTTGGCAGCGGTGCGGCTATGGACGAGAACGACCAACTTCGAGACAGCCGCACAAATTCGAGACAAGCTCTGGCCATTATCGCCTCCCACTTGCTGCTAGGATGGTTTTTGGTCGAAACTATTACCGGAGCATACATGACGCACTTTCATGCCGTTATATTTAGCATGCTCGGAACGACTTTTCTTGGCAGCATCGTGTCAGGTATCTTTTGCGGCTTGCGTTCCTACAAAAAGCATCTTTCGATGCCGCAAGTCTTGTTAGACGCCCTGTATGGCGTTGGAAACGTCATATGGCCAACTGGACTTGTGCTTGCCATAGGAGAAAAGTGCCAGGAGCTGGCAGTGATACAGGGCAACGGTATCATAGACTTCAACGCCCAAGGCTCTGCCAGTCAATGGGCCTGGAAAATCGGAATGGTCCTGTGGACTCTGGAGATATCCCGATGGGCCCGGTTGCACCTCACAACTAGCAATCGATACGGGATCCCAAAGCCCGTGGACGTCATTCTTCCACTCTGGGCGAGTGCGCATGTTGTGGTTGCACTGGCCATGTTTAACTTTGCGTATGATCCGAGTCGTACCTACAAACCGGCTTGGACCGATGTGCTGGGATGAGATCACGCCATGACGAGCCAGGGACCAGCCAAGTAGGAGAAAGCGGACTTACTCGTGTCTACAGTACATAAGCAGGAAAGAAGATGTTCACAAAGGATATATTCGCCTACCTACGACAGTCCGATGTTCGTCAAAGTTATTCGTATGGTCTGATGTCAAGGTCAGCGTGATGTTCGCCGTCTGATCACTGAAGTCACTGAGAGCTCTGGGGCTAACCTCTCCAAGCTACGAGTTGCAACATACGCGTTCTTGGTCAATTGTTCTGGAAGGTTGCATTATTGGCAACGTATACCCATGAAGCGCTTGGAGCCTCGTGGCTTATGGTTGAGCCGCTACGCGTGAGCAGACTCGGCCGGATTTTTGTTTACTGAAAGGGGCCCTCCAACCTCGGAATCTCATTATTGACTTGAGGGATGCAACTGTACGGGGGAGACGGCCCCTCTGCGGGGTAAAAGCTTCCCGCCTTTGTGGGGAGCATCAACAGGGGGCTCTGTCGCGTCGCGCAGTCTTTCAGACGTCTCAACCAGCGATCATGTCTACTTTGGAGCAAAGTCTCGCAGCAGGATTTCCCTCGGATTCCCATCAAACGACAAAAGTCAATTTCTATTCAGGGTCTTTTGGTTCCATTGGACTCTGGAGTGATTAGTTAACAAAGTCCGCGGTAGACTCCGAAGTGCAAACACAAAGCTTCTAGTCCTCGATCTGCCCCCGCCGCCCCCGGCCAGGCTAAAATGGCATCCCCCAGACGCCGTCTCATTCCCCAGCCTCCCGCCATCCAATCACAGCTCCGCCGAATATCAGCACGAACCCGGAAGGTCGCCCACGCTCCACAAGAGCCGAGGCTCGCGGCACGATTTCCAGACATGGCTGGACGCCGTCCATTCCCCCTAACCCCCCAGACCGATGTCAACCGAGAGACGCACTGCCTCCTCAACTAGAATGACCTGACCGCCGGGGCGATCTGCTCAAACTCTCTCTTTATCCTCGTGAACCCGCACTCTGGAGAGCCAACCTCAACTCCTCCTCCTTCTACCTCGACGGATATCCCATCTCTCGTAGACGAATCGAGCCTCCAATTCGACTGCTAGACCCCGCCATCAGCTTGTCCCCTCGATTCTTCCTCGTTAGTCCGAATAATAAAGGAGTGCAAGCACGAACTCCAAACCGCCCACCATGGCCGCAAAGACGTTCTCTCGCGACGAGGTCGCAAAGAACAACACGGAGGACTCCCTCTGGTGCATCATCGACTCCAAGGTCTATGATCTGACCGACTTCGCCATGGGTCATCCCGGTGGCGAAGCCGTCCTTCGTCAGGTCGCAGGCCAAGACGCCACAACCCAGTTCTACAACCTTCACCGTCAGGATGTCCTCACAAAGTACGACAAGACCCTCGTCATCGGCACCGTCGAGGGCGAGAAGCCCCAGGTTATCGTCACCGGCCCCGGCGAGCTGTCTCCCGTGCCGTACGCCGAGCCCACTTGGCTTACGCCGCAGTTCAAGTCCCCCTACTTCAACGACTCGCATCGCTCCCTGCAAAAGGCCATTCGCAAGTTCACCGACGAGCACATCACCCCTGTGGCACTTGAATGCGAGGAAAAGGGCGAAGTCATTCCCCAGGAGCTCATTGATAAGATGTCCAAGGCGGGAGTGCTACACATGCGTCTCGGGCCCGGCAAGCACCTACATGGCGTGGACCTCTTGGGCGGCGCCGTTAATGGCGAGGAGTTTGATTACTTCCACGACATGATTCTCAGCCAAGAGATGGCCCGGACCAACTGCCGCGGTTTTCAGGACGGTATGCTTGCGGGTATGACGATCGGCCTGCCTGTCGTTCTCAACTTTGCAAACTCCGAGTCGCTGCGCAAGCGCGTTGCGGATTCGGTTTTCAGCGGCAAAGACAAGATTTGCTTGGCCATTACCGAAGCGTTTGCTGGGAGTGATGTTGCAGGCATTAGAACCACTGCGGAAAAGACACCTGACGGAAAACACTATGTGAGTCTACCAACTTTCTGTTCCCATCCTTTTGGGCCACAACCACATCCACCACTCCGCGCAACCATCACAACTCCCTCAACCACAACCACAACAACAACGCCACAACACAAGTTGATCATTAACTAATTAAACCATGGAATAGATCGTCAATGGAACCAAAAAATGGATAACGAACGCTACGTACTGTTCGCTTTTTGTTGTTGGTGTGAAGACAGACAAGGGCCTCAGTGTCCTCCTTATAGAGAGAGGCGAAGGGGTTGAGACCAGGCCTATTAAGACATCCTACTCTCCAGCCGCAGGAACGGGTTTTGTAACCTTTGACAATGTCAAGGTCCCGGTAGAGAACTTGCTGGGCCAGGAGAACAAGGGCATCCACGTCATCCTGAGCAACTTCAACCACGAGCGGTGGACCATGGCTTGTAAGTCTTCGTCCCCAGTCGTTCCGCCTTTTAGATCCGGATAGCGCTGACCGTTTATCAACTAGGCGCCACAATCCGCCAATGCAGAGCCGTCGTCGAAGAGTGTCTCCTGTGGGCAAACCAGCGTCTCGTATTCGGGAAGCGTCTCATTGACCAACCCGTCATCCGTCTCAAGTAAGTATCCAAATCCCCTTTCTGCAACCCTGGCCGTCCACTTACACGCCTCCCCCAAAACAGACTCGCAAAGATGATTGCCCTCGTAGAATCCCACCAATCCTGGCTCGAAACAATCACCTACCAGATGAACTCGATGCCCTACAAGGAACAAGCAAAGCACCTCGGCGGGCCCATCGGCCTCCTCAAGATGAGCGCCACCCGCGCCGCGCACGAGATCGCCGACGAGTCGGTCCAGATCTGGGGCGGCCGCGGCCTCACACGGACGGGCATGGGCCGCGTGATTGAGATGTTCAACCGCACGTACAAGTTTGATGCTATCCTCGGTGGCGCGGAGGAGGTGTTGGGCGACTTGGGAGTTAGGCAGGCTATGAAGTTTATGCCCAAGTCGAGGTTATAAGGGAGGTCTTTTGGGACATGGACAAACGGTATCGGTATTATGTTCCGGGTTATTTGTTGCTGTGAGAATAGGCTACACTATACTACACTACACTGGGACGCCGTCCTCGTGACGGACACGGGATGAAGAACGGGGGCTCATTTGTCAGCTTTATATATATGTACTGTAAAAGGAATCATTTTGGAATACCTCACACAAACCCTTTTCTTGATGAGCTGCTGTGCCAACAGCGGGATCGGATGCCGGCGCGGCGACAGCCAAAAGCGCGAAGCAGAGCTGAAGGAGAAACTGGGCGAATACGGCGTTACGCATCGTGATTTCGTTCGTTGTCGAGAGGG